TAAGTTTTATCACCAATCATCACATGCTCGATTTGACGTTTCAGTTGTTGTGTGTGGAAAAATACAACGTCAACAAAACAATCAATTCAATATCAATTGGCGTTGAATCGGTTTTATCGCAAAAGAAATTCCTCAAAAAAGAAATGAAAGTAACTAAAATCAACTCAGAGATTTGGAAGTGACTGAAATCACCTCAGCCGAAACGAAAGAACGACGACAAAAGCGATTGGAATATTTTGTGCGTGAAGTGTGTGAAGTGTATTCACTGACCTTTGATTTACGGTATGCATACAATTTTCTATGGATTGAACTTTGTTCATCCAATGCGTTAAATGTTTTCTTTTTTAAACTAATTTCTTTAATTCGAAATTTCGTAGTGAGCGTCGTGGATATTCAAACGATTCGAATTTGTTTCGTGGTTTATTGAAGGTCATGTGAACGAGTTTATTCAAAGTGGAATTTGCATTGGCTCTTGGAATGAAATCGAATGACATGTTTTTGCGTCGAATGTTGAAAAAACCAAAATAATGGAAGAATACAAAGGAGATTTCATGGCGATTGGTCTAAATTGCAAAGATTTCAAACAGAATTTCCGTGACACATAAAAAAACTTTGCGCGAATGACATCGTTTCGCATCGAACCGATTAAAAATACCCGGTTATGCTGGATACTTCTTGGCTTTGTTGTGCATTCAACATTCGTGTTTGATTGCCTTTCGAGAGGCATGTTTTACCTCGGACCACAAGCCGTACATTTCATTTTGGCTCCTTCAAACTATGACAGGTAAAGAGCATTTTGGGTGTTTGATTCAATTCGATTGAATTAAAATTAAAAGTTTAAGTGCTGATCGACATTTCAAATTGAAAATATTTGGAATTTAATTGAATTTTCCATTCTTCTCTTCATTATAGGCATAGCCGGTCAACTCTTATTCATCATAATGTGCTTGATATTAATATTTGCAACAAATTGCATCACACTGAATTGAATTCAAACGGAACATTTGCCATCCAATTTTATGAATGTTCACCGCATGGAATTGCTCTCAACTGTCATATCAAAGCCTAAAGTTCATGGTTTGGACAATTTTTATCTCTACAATTTTTTCATTCAATTTTCGAATCATTTTCTAATTATGAACTGAATGTAATTTCAGCGTGAGCGTCGTGAATATTCAAACGATTCGAATTGGTTTCGTGGTTTATTGATGGTCATGTGAACGAGTTGATCGAAAGTGGAATTGGCATTGGCACTTCAAACGAAAGCAAATGACATGGGTTTGTGTCGAATGTTCAACAATTTGGACATGGATCAGGAACAGAGCATTTTATTTTAGGGTTTTTAGAAATAGTTGTTCTGTTCTCGCGTAGCAAAACCGAAGACAATTTGCGTATAATCTATGATATGTGACGGGGTCTTTGAGTGGCAAGCCTAATTTATTTGATAAGTGGCCGTTCCTTGAAATTCAATTAGAGATCTGAGGCGCTATTAAAATGTGTAATTCAGATTCAACACTAATAAATAAATTACAAACAGTTTTTATTGTATAGAAATGTGATATAATATAATAAAAATAAAATAAAACAAAATAGATATTCGGAACAACATATGTAAACATTCAAGCAGAAAAAAATAAAAATTAAAAAATATATGAACAGCAAAGAATAATTTAAATAAAAATATTGTTGAGATGTTTTGCTTTTTGACTTATGCCTCCATGATATTGAGCATATCCGAGATAATATAATATTGCCATAACATGTGAACAGCACCCTACTGTTCGCAATCCCACTTTACAACTGCAACAGTATCCCAAAATTGCACTTGAACCTGTATAAATTCTACTAAAAAGCAAATACGCTTTCCAAGTCTTTCCGGAAATGAAACGAGAGCCAATATCAAGCATAATTAGTGCGAGTTCTTTGTCGATAAAATTCCCAAAATATTTTTCAAGTGATTTGGTTTTTGTATTGCCTCAATACGTTCGAATTGCCGTTTGTT